GCTGCGACTTCCAGACGTTCAAAGCTCTTCAAACCCTCCGACCGAAAACTCTACGGCCGCTGCGCCCGCCGTTGATCATCTGCCAGTCCAGCGTTCATATGTCAGCTGCCAGATGGAGCTGAAAGTCGGACTCTGCCAGACTTTGCCGAGACCAGCGACCATCTGCCCGGATTTACGTTGCCTACCGACAACCTACCGACGGTCTTCACAAATCACCGTGGCTTTCTTTTCCGATTTGGTGGGAACTGTACGAGAGTGTTAGTAGTGCCGGCGAATCATCCTATTGAACCAAATGAATTGAAAATCTCCCGTTGACCTTCTGTTTTTCGAGTCCTTCACCGTCCTGCTTGTGAGGAGGGGAACATGGTGGGCGGATGAGAGAGTATCAATGATGGATGATGCGCGTCCGTGCCTCTTTTGGCACTTGAGATTTTTTACCCCCGAAGCTGTGCCGCCCTGATCCGTTCACTCGACCTCTTATCCCTATCCTTCCACTTTTCGTCTTTCAAGCCCTTCTTTCTGCGCTCGCTGTAGCTGCCACTGCAGCCTCTGTGGCGAGCGTCGTACCGTCGATGAGCACACGAAGCATGGCCCAGCTGAGCCCGGCGGATTCCAAAAACCCCTCAGCGCCCGTGCCCCCAAACAAACCCATTGGCAAGCCCTTGAAACCCACAGGAATCATAATCCTGCCCCCATCCTCCCCACGACCATATGACGATGATTCCCCCCCGAGCTCGACGTCCGACTCGCAAATGGCGGCCTCTATGCCCGATCTCCCAGGGGCTGCGCTGAGCCGCCGCGCGAGCACCAGCACGAGCTCGCTGAACGTCAAGTTCGCGCCTTTACCGCAGCTCGCCCCGCGGAAGCGCCGCTCGACCGCCCCGCTCGGCATCGCCTCGCGCGCGCTGATGATGCGCCGCCGCCGCGCAGGGATGCCCGGGTACGACATGAACGGCGACCCGCTGCCCGCGTGGACGGACGAGGAGGTCGAGCGCCACACACAGCGCATCCTCGCCGAGCGCAGCGGCCAGCCGCTCCGCGAGCGCGAGGGCGACGACCCGTTCCTGACCCTCGGGAAGATGGTCAAGGGCGCGGGCAAGCAGTTCTGGCGCAAGGTGAACAACAAGCGCCCGGGCGAGGGGGAGGAGAAGGAGAAGGACGCTGGCGGCGGGGTGGTGGTCGCGGAGCGCATGGTCCTGGGCACGATATCGGCGGACAATACCGGTACCCCGTCCCAGGAGGAGGGCGGGGTGTGGGAAGAAGAGGTCGGCGACCGCTTCCCGCTCAATGTCGGGCAGACGGAAACCATTGTCGAAGGGCAGTTCTCGTGGTCTGCCGCGCACCTCAAGCCGTCGCTCGAGGACACCGGGTCGGTGAGCGACGACGCCAGCGCGCGGGAGCGCACTCTGTCGTCGGCGGAGGGCACGGAGGAGGGCTCGACGCTGGGGGAGCCTACACGGTCTCATTCCTTCTCATGACCTCGTATTCTATGGCACTCTCGACTTTCGGCGGGGCGCACTACTACACTCATTACATCTATTAACACCATTTTTATCTTTATCTTATAGCTTTGTCGCATGGTCTGGGTCTGTAATATAAAGTTTTTTCCCAAATTCCTTGCAGAAAAATTGGTTTACGCTCTCCCCCGCTCTCCACTGACGCTGAATTGGTCTCGGACGACTCCCAGTCGTCCTTTTTCTCGTCTTTAAAATTTTTTGTTTCCCTCCCTTCAAAACCGAGACCGTGTATGCTCCTAGTCGCATTAGATTCCAGCGAAAATGACGAAAACATGGCCCCTTCCGCCCGCTGGTACACTCATTCCGCATCCCCTGACGAAGTTTTCAAGTTCATCGAATGATGCCATCAAACATGGCACGTCTCTCAGTCTCTCTTGATACGCTTTACCGTTTCTAGCTCGTTCCTCGCTCGATAAAAGCCAAAGAGGGATAAAAAAGCTGAAACGGTGGGGCATTCATGCAAGGTCCAGGTCTGGGTTGAATTTTGAGAGTTGGCCATCACTCGGCATTGATCGGCGTCGGGAGTTGCCGGGCAAACCACTCTTACTTATCACTGCCACAGCCTTGTTGTATCAGACGGTCCGTCTGTGATTCAAGCATGTCCTCGTAGGCTTTACATGAAAGGCCGCATTCTTTGGCTAACTCCTTAGACAGTCCCACAGATCCTGGAGTCCGAGATTCCGCAGCTATCATTCCTAGCTCAGGGGCCGCGTTCCCACCAGAGATCCTTGGCGAGATCTTCCTCGCATCTATTCCGGCTCTAGGGAGAACCGAAGACCGCGCTCACTTTCACTGGTCCCTCAGCCATGTTTGTCGCCACTGGCGGACTTCCGCCCTCTCTTTCCCGAAGCTCTGGTCGTTTCTCGATCTCGAGCAGACGCAGGAAAATGAAGAGTACACGTCATCAAGTCTCGATTTCCTGCAAGCGTACCTGCAGCGGTCCGGCACGCACCCGCTCACATTCCGTCTGGCGTATTCCCAGGAGACGATACATGGTCATCCCTTCTTGGAATGCCTGCTTCAGCACTCTGCTCGATGGGAAACCGTGTACCTCGAAGCGCCGGCGCATCTGGCGATGAGGACTCTGAGCGAGGCTGACATAGGGGAATTCCCCCGTCTACGCAGCCTCGACTGCTCGGACTGCGAGTTCGACTCGGACGCGATTGGGGACGACGACGAAATTCTCCAGCCGATTCCGTGGTCGCAGTTGAAGCGGTATCATGAATACGATTGCTCGTGGTACCCCGATTGCACCCGTCAATGGGCAATTATCGAGCAGCTCACAAGTGTCGTCGATTTCGGGGGAGCATTCTACGGTGTCTCCGACTCCGACTTCACCATCGAGATGCCCAATCTCCGGCTTGCCTCCCTGGCAGTCGATTGGCGTGCTGACGAACTGACGATCGAAGAAGTGCTAAACTGCTTCGATTTCCCGCACCTGGAGGGCCTCAACCTGAAACTAATGACGAACCACCCCTATGATGTGCTGTGCCCCGTGCCTGGGGAGCTCAAAGCCCTGAAAATTCTGAGACTGTGCGGCGCACTAGCGATCTCCAACACGTCACTCAAATCTATCCTTACGGAGATCGCGACTCTGACGGATTTTTCGGTGGAGATGCGCGGCATCGACGCCACGTATCTGTTTACGCTCCTCACGCCCGGCGCCGACTCGGCGTCGGTTTTGGTCCCGAGATTGCAGGCGCTGCGTCTCACGGAGTTCACGTGCGAAGATGGGACGCTCATCGCATTCCTCGCTATGCTCCAGGCGCGATTCAGCGGGGTAGCTGGAGTCGAGTTTACCCTCCTCCGGTTATTCACGCTGTGGATGGGCCCGAAGAATAAAGCAGCTTCGGTATTGGACAGCTTAAAAACGCTGAAAGAGCGCCAGGGGTGGGATATTCGGCTGGACCAGGAGTGTACGAGGGATTTTTGGACAGAGGACATGGACAGCGCGTTCTTATAGATGAGTGAGTATGTATTGAGGTACGTGCGCACCCAGCTTTCGCGGCCCAAACTGACTCAGCGACTCAGCGAGGGCACAGTCCAATTTATTACCGGTCCAGACATATATATTTTGTTCAAGCGTTGCGTCCTGAAGGATACCGAGAACAGGCCTTGGTTCTCTCTCTCTACTTCAGTTTCAGAACCAGAGCAGGCTGGTGATCTGCCGCCACGTCTGGGAAATAGTGCTGTCGACGCTCTGGGACTCTTTAAATACGGCCCCACGACTCGTATCGGGGTTGAAAGTCCCCACAGTGGCGAAACATCGATCTGACGAGACCTGGCGCCGCCAAAACATGGCCGTGTTGATTCTCGGAAATGTTCGGCATTGGACAAGCATCGGCACTGGACTTTTCCGTCGGTTTCAACAGATTCCGGTGCTGAACGGGATCGCGCCGGACTGTACCTACCGGCGCTCACAGTCCATGATGTTGAGTTGTCGCAATGATGTTCCTATTCGTTAAACAATCATAGATCCATATATCCACAGTGACCTTCCTCGAGGCCTCTGACTACTTGTCGTCCATTATCGCACTGCGCAGTGCCTGACCCTGTGGAGAGCAGCACAGCCGCCCTCGGCCGCGAGAGTGCAATCCAAGTGCAATCAAGGATGGACATGTTCTGCACAGTGCGTGGCATAACTTGTGGCACTCGGAGACCATTACGGGAACATTCCCGGCGGAGAAGTGGATTTTCGATGTGACGACGACCCTGCGCTCCCCTTCAGCGGCAGTGGCTCCTCAGCCGCGCTAGCGCCAATCGTTAAGAAAGGTTCAGCGCAGAGGACAACGACTTCGGCATTGGGAGCTTTGGTGGGTCTAGCGAGGCTCGCGGACCAGTTGGCTTGAATACAGCATGCGCCGGATCATCAGCGGATACCTTTACTGCGACTACTTTATTCAGGCATTCCAGTACTACCAGTGCCCACTTCGAGAGGATTGTACTTTCCGCACGAATCGTGTCTTTGCGGTTACAATTTTTACGATCAATACCGGTCCCTGAGCCGAGAAGGAGGCGTTCGAGTGAGAGATGTTTTGCATGTCTATGTTGAGTTTTGTCCCGGTTGAACATTGCCTTCAGCCTTTTCGATCCTGCCTCTTCCTCGGTCGTTTGGCCCATATCCGTTGACCCGTTGATTGGGGTCAGCCGGACACTTCCATACTCTTTGGTGCGATGAATTGATCGACGCTGTTTACATCAATCTGACCGGATATGCGACAATGCTGCGGCTCTGAATCGCCAAATATGGGTGTGAAAGGCAGGTTATATGGGTGCGGACTCGAGCTCCTTTTCTGCAGAAAGTGTGAAGAAGTCTCTGGGGGCGAACGAAAAAGCCCCGACTCCAAGCTGTCGACAAAGGAAAGAAAAAGTGTGTGAAACCCAGCATTTGCGCGCGGTAATGCAACTGGCTGTGGTCTCCCGCGAACGGTCAACTTCTAGTGACAGAGGGCTTAATCCCACCCAGGGCCCGGACCGCAAAGTGACCACCACGAGGAATCGAGCCCCGGGCCTCCCAACTCTGAAACTAGTCATTGTCGGGACGTCTAACCACTGAACCATAGTGGCCACATAATACGACATACTCAAGGTGAACTTATGGGGAACTAGATGCAGTGGCCCTACGCAAATACGATTTTTGACAAATGAATCCGCAGGGTGTCCACCGTCCAAAAGCAGACTAATAGAATTTAAGCAGGGTCAAGTTAGCTGAGGCTAACTGCGAGGCATTTTTCATTATTTTTGGATCGCCTCGCGGGGCAACTGCGGCTTCGGCATCAGTATACAGCAGTATACGTACTGTTCCCCGTGGGGATTGCTGACGCGTCAGTGGCAGTGCCTGTCAATCACAAACTTGCCCAACGTCAAGCGCCTTACCCAAACTTGAGGGATGTACTAGTCTGTAGTTTACCGCGCTCCTGTGTGTTGGCACTCGACCTTATTACATAAAGTGCGGAGTTTCAATGTGAGTCAAGCTCGTTCAACACTTCCAGAGGTCTAAAACACAAATCTTGGGAGGCCAAATAGCTCGGAATCCAACTCCGAGAAGCTGTGCTGCTTCATAATTCTTTGGCTCCCCCATTTTTGCATGGAACGAAATATTCGTCGGCTCGTGTGACCGGCCCATCAAAGTTCGGCATCGCGGTTCTGGGGTCTATGAGACGAAAGTGGACGGAAAAGGGGCTGATTTCAGGCTTCTGTAGCATGACACACCATTAATCTACCCAGAAACGCGCTCCAAACGCGCAAATGAATCTCAAGAATTTCGAGATTACATAATAACGTCGAGTGCCAATCATACTGATCGGGCAATCGACAGACTACAACACGCGAGGTACGAGTGGATTTTGTTGTAGTGTCTGTTTATAAGAGACTAGCTTGGACCCGTTGCTCCGCAACTAAAAGGGTAACCCATGCTCCACTACGATAATAAGAAATCAGATTCCTTGAAGATGTCCTGTACCATCCCACACCCGTAGGCCTTAAATCAAAAAGTTTGACAATGTCAGCTCGTTACCCGTACCCATAAGCTGATATCAATTTCCTGTACCATCCCGCACCCGTAGGCCTTGAATCAAAAGGTTTAAAAATGTCAGCTCATTACCTGTACCGATAGGCTGATATTGATTTCCTGTACCATCCCTCACCCATAGACATTGAATCACAAGGTTTGCCAACTTCAGCTTGTTACCTATACCCGTAGGCCGATATCGATTTCCGGTACAATCCCGCACCCGTAGGCATTGAATCAAAAGGTTTGACGGCATCAGCTCACACCCGTAGGCCAATTTACTGTAGCATCCCACATCCGCAGGCATTGAATTACAAGATTAAACAATCTGGACTCATTACCTGTACCCGTAGGCCAATCAAAATATTTGGCAACTACCCGTACCCGTACCCATACCTGTACCCATACCAGTAAGCCAATTTCCTCCGAACCCGACCACCGGGTACAGCAGACGATGGCCTCGTAGCTGTCGAAGGACCCGCAGAAGCGGCGGCAGCCTTGGCAGCTGCTTAGCGTTCTCGCCGTCGGCGCTGACCTAGAGCATGATTGTTAATTTGAGGAGGTGGCCCGGGAGCCTGAGTGTCGGGCAGGGTCGCTAACTGACGAATAGCCCTCTGTGTAGATTGGTTAGCAGGTTCGAAGAACAAAGTAAACAATTGTGCACCTGTGAATGTGGCGTCGGCGATGGCGCACAATTTTCCCCCTCCTCGTGCTGCCCTGGAACGCGACAGTGGCGGCGACTCGGCGTTTCGAGCAGTAAAATCTGGCGCTCTCGTTCTGCATCCCGAAGTTCGGGACGCTCGTACTCCAGCGATGATGTGCAAGGCACGCAACCTTGGCCCTGTGTGCCCGGCAGAAGATTGCTGAGGTCTTGAAAGGGGCCTGGCACCCCCAGATTCTTGCATGGCTTCATGTCGCGCTTCTCGCACGTTTCGCTTGTGTCGCCGGGGTAAAGGAGAGGAAGAGGGCCCAGGAGTGGGAGATAGCCTGAAATGAGATTCAAGAATCAGCATGTGCCGGAGAGCCAGTGAACTGAACCCATGCATTAGGATTATGAGGACCAGGGTAAGCAGTAGAAAGATCCTGAGGTGCATGGAGAAGATCAGTAGACACACCAACGTGCCCGAAAGAAAAGCGGCGAGAACGACCACGGGAATAGGGATGAACGATTATTGGTTTCGTGGATTTCATTTCAGGCATCATTCAAGCAGGAGAGGATTTATTAGTGTACATAGTATACATGAAACAGGGCTTACTACAGCCAGCTAATAGAATGTGTAGAGAGGACATAGGGTATATAGGCTTTGTCGAGTCTCGATGGTCCAGGGTAGTCAGGGGAGTTTCAAAGTTGTGCGTAGTCAAAAGTCAGGTTGAGGTAGTCGAAGTCAAGTCAAAGTACACTGGAAAACACGGCAGAGAGCGCGTCGACGGGGCGATGGAGACGCGATCCAGCAGTCGAGAGCGGAAGCGTTGTTTGTCCTCGCGTGCCCATAGCCCACGGATAAACCTGATTGGCTGGCTAGAGATTCACGTGACACCCGTCTTTTGTATAATAGACTAGGGATGGACTCCCTCAAACTTGCCTCAAACTGGTTTTACTCCCAAACAGCATCCAATGGCCATCGAGCTCAGGAAATCCATGGCCTTTGCAATTGAGCCCGGGATACTGGGTCCCGGAACTCCCTCTCTCTGTCAAGCCAACTGTGGGTCCATCGTTGGTCCACGAGTCGGGTACAAACCGTGGGAGTCGACCATCCCGCTGAAGCACTACGGTCATCGGGAGACATGCGCGTACATGGGGAGCACTCCGTTGAAGAAGAAAAGGTTTGTCCTGAGGTGGACAGGGAGGTGCCAAGGTCGTGCGGGCGCCGTCGCCGAGTCGTAGAGCAGATACCTCCCCCGTGAGATCACGGAGGAAGCCCTAGATGTAAAGCAATCAGTAAAATAAGAAAAGTAGATAACTCAGCTCAATATATCAAGAGAAACTCAAGCACGCACAGTTCAGAGTCAGAATAAGGGTAGATTGTTTGTCGTCGTAGTGATACGGAGGAGAGAGGGATAATGCTTAGGTAAGGACCCGCTAAGCGAAATGTGGGAATGGAATGTGAAGGAAGGTACCTTAGGTACGTAGAATGACCGTTGTAAATCCCTCAGCTAAACCAAGTCCTCCACACACACATACACCGGGAGATGGGCAAAGACGTATAGGGAGATAGCACTGCCCCCCCAACAGCGGGGTGCCCAAGCCAGGTCGAAGATCGATCCCCGGCCCAGTCCGAGTGCAGCGGCGCATCAGAAGTGGCGGTCGCATCGAGATTGCTACAGAATAAGTATGAATGAATGTTCGATGCAGAGGTGAGTAGGTAAGGTTCGAAGAGTATTAAAATACTGTATGAGGAAAATCTTGAATAGGTCCGAACTTGAACTGTAAAGCACGCGGCATAGGTAGGGTGGAAAAATAAATGACTGCGTAGTGGGCGAGAGGGAAAATGGATGGTGCAGCTGTGAACGAAAAAATGAGCCAAACAAGATCTCGAATGTTGTTGAGAGAGAAAATGGGTGCGAAGGGTGTGTTGGAGGATTATAGTGAAATCTAGACGTGTTGTGGTGTGATATTTGCTCTGCATGTGCACTCGGGCCGAAACCCGAAGGCGACGAGCGGGTCGAGTCGCACTTCCACACCGTTTGATACAGCCCTTGCTCTATCGCTCGTCGAAGAGGTGGAAGGGACGCCCGACGGCTTCGCCGAGGTGCACGATTCACGTCAGCAGCTATTGACGCGCATGAAACCCGCCTAGTGTATGGTCTGAGTCAATGCTTTGAACTTCGGAATATTCATGCGACTTGAACAACTTGAACACCGTTTTTGAACTGAACTGTTCGGGCCGACTCGGAAATCGGATCATGATTGCGCTGATCCGCTGTCGGAGGGGCTTCTAAAATTTGCTTTTCTGATTCACCTTCATGATGTCGTCGTTCGCCAGGCCCCCGGTCACTCAGGCATAGGTCGGTCCGCCCAAAATCTGAAATCTCCCTTGATTTACCTTACGATTTTGGCGCCTCCGGACGTTGATTTACCTTACGGCGGACCGAATAATATATATATATATATTTTCCTAGCCTTTTTCCCGGCCACAGGCGCTCCCGTGGCCTTTCCTGCATCAGTCGTGGACTCGTGATTACTCGCTGTACCGATCTACCGCTGACTGAAAGCTCAGCGGGGACACAATTCTGCGGCTAGGTCAGCACTTTTGCTCAACAAAAATCTCAGGCTGCGCCCGATTTACTTTACACCGGACCGACCTCGGGGCTGGAGCCCTTGATTTACCTTACGAGGCGGACGGAAAAACATCAAATTTGGGTCGCTGATTTACTTTACGGCAGACCGACCTATGCCTGAGTGACCGGGGGCCTCGTTCGCCCTCGGTCCTCTTACAAACCGGGAGCCACATTATCAGAACCAACATACACTGATAGCAGATGAATATGGACGGCTTCGATTCGCCGCTATCAGCCGCCGCGTCCTCGCCTTGCCCCCTGAACTTTTGGCCGAGATATTCCTTCATTGCCTCCCCGACGTCGAATTCATAAAGCCCGACATCACCTCATCCCCTCTTATCCTTTACGGCATATGTCGTCACTTCCGGGAAATCGCGCTATCGACACCGGGACTCTGGAGCTCCTTGAGTTTCGAGACTGAGTCGGCACCCGAAGCAAAGCGCATCGAGCTGGTCCGCAGCTGGTTGGTTAGAGCGCGCAGGGTCCCGCTCTCACTGCGTTTTCACAACTCAGATGGGGATTGGGAGTCTGCATCTGCGCGATCGATTCTACAGATCATCGCCGGCTTGTCCCCGCAGTGGCGAAACATCGACCTGGAATTCACGCCATTCTTAGCACTTCTGCTTCCTCCTCCGAGGAAATTTTACTTGCTCGAGAAATTGGCCTTACACGATTCTACAGATCATCGCCGGCTTGTCCCCGCAGTGGCGAAACATCGACCTGGAATTCACGCCATTCTTAGCACTTCTGCTTCCTCCTCCGAGGAAATTTTACTTGC